GCCTTCACGGATCAGAACCAACGAGAGTCCAGAACCCACGTTGGCTTTCTCTCGCTTACTCACCTCCTATGTTCGGACGCTTTTGGGCACCGAGGCAAGACTGACCTTCCCGGCCGGCTCCGCGGGTAGTCTTACTCCTCTCGTCCGGACCGTGGGGGTGTGGCCTGTCGAATTCCCGCGGCTCCGGTGGGCGTGGCCTTGTTGTGAACTCCCGCGTCTTCGGAGAGTTTCGCCTCCGACCTAGGCCATGTTTTTTGTTCTCTTTCTGGAATGTCACAACACAAAGGTCATGACACATTTTTCTGAAAGGTCTTGCCTCATGCCGTGACAACAAGGAATTATTGGTCACAGATCTTCTTATCTTTTTTTATTTCTGTTTTTTAAATACCATGGTTTGTAAATTTTTGCGGCCCGTTCGTGCATTAAAACGCCGCGGGTCTCCGTAGTAAAAATATCTCTTTGGAAAATACTTTAGCATTGTGAATTGACCTGAGAATAGCGATGCTTGGCTGCCCGCGCTGTTTGTGGTGCGCGGGCTCTCGGTCGGCTGCGAGGAAGGCGCAGACTGACGGGGAAACAGGATCGGATGATGTGTTTGAGTGATTCTTATCACTTGGCGCGGGTGATAGTACTTTCTCTGGCTACGGGTGTTGTTCGTTGATCGCTGTCTGAGACTTCCTTTTGACACTACACTTGCAAGATCATTTTTTTTTTTTTTTGTTTCTTGTTTTTTGTTTGTTGGTTGTTTTTTTTTTTTTTGTGTGTTGTTTTTTTTTTCTGTGGTTTTTTTGGTTGTTTGTTTTTTTTTTTCGTTGCCCGACACGACTCACACGTTCAATCGTGGGTACTGTATCATCTTCGCACTATCGTTCACTATTGTTTTTCACGGTTACACGCACACACTTACACACACACACATTTGTTTTTTTTTTTTTTTCAACGTTATGACAGTCACTTACTACTACAGTGGTTGTGTTTTTCCTATCAAGACTACATCACTGGGTGACATATGTTTATTCAAGACACACGTACATCGACACATTTTTTGTTTTGTTCACTGACACACCACATGTGTTTTTTTTTTTTTCAGACGAATTTTTTTTTTGTTTGGGTTTTGTTTTTTTTTTTTTTGTGGTTTTGGTTTTTGTGTTTTTTTTATTTTCACAGACACACATTACTCACAGTGTACATCAATCACATTTTTTTTTGTTTTTTATTGTTCGCAGATATCATCACAATTTGTTTGGTTTTCACGGACACACTATACTGTCTTCCCGGTCTAGACATCCTGCCCCTCTTCTTTCGGATGGGAAACGACAACTGCTTTCGCCACTGTCATTGTCTTTGACTAGACCACCCTCATCCGCCCATCTTGCCCCCTATTGGTTCTCGTTTTTCCTTTCTGTTTAACTGGGCGAAGGATGTAAGAACTAGATTTTCTGGCATTTTTGCAATTGTGTTTTTATAACGTTCTGTTTCCTTTGCTTTCTTTTTTTTCTCTTCTGCTCTTTCTCTTTTCTTCTTTCTCTCTGTCTCTCTGTCTCTCTCCTCTCCCTCTTCTCTTCTCATTCCCTTTCACGCACTTCACGTCACTTTCACTCACCTTCACTCACATCACGTCAACGTCTACTCACGCACTCTCTCTCTCTCGTTCTCTCTTCTTCTCCCTCCAACCTCACTCACTCACTCACTCTCTTCTTCTCTCTCTCTCTCTTCCAACTCACGTCAACCTGCTCTAATCGCTAATATCTATTTATAGAATTGTCCGTTCCCAGACATCAGCCGCTGAAACACTGCATGCAAGTGAACGGCGCGTAAAATACAGGCGGATATTTATTTACACACACACTAACACGTGGATTGTGGGGGTATTTCGACTCGTGCATTTGGGTGCGGTTGTGTGGTGTGTGTGTTTGTGTGTGTGTGTGTGTATGTGTGTGTTTGTGTGTGTGTGTGTGTGTGTGTGTGTGTTGTGTGTGTGTGTGTGTGTGTGTGTGTGTTGGTGTGTGTGTGTGTGTGTGTGAGTTGCGTGTGCGTGTGCGTCTCTGTGCGTTCATGTATGCGGGATAAAAAGAAGGTAACTTATTTGCAAAACGAAATTTATGAAATCATTCACCTCTTATAAATGCACCAAGGAAATATATATCCTTCGATCTACTGATACACTTAAAAAACACCATTACTTATAACCTTCCAACAAATACCTTAATATATATCTGATAACCACAAAACACCTAAAAATTACGATAAAACCAAAATAAAAAGTCCGAATTGAAAAGAAATAAGATCTTCAAGCGCAATACAGGATTGGCTTTGTTTACATTACTCATTACTCAATTACTCTTTTTTACCATTATTATCCTATTTTACTCGCGTGCTTCCCGTAGCTTGCAGGATCTCGGCAGGAAAAGAGACGCGACTGCAGGTAAATGATGTCATAATGTGACTCAGTAGAGAGTGAGAAAAGGGGAGGAAGGGAGGAGGGTGGGAGGGAGGGAGGGAGGGAAATAAGGAGAGAGGGAAGGAGAGAAGTATAGGGAGGACGGAGGGAAATAGGGAAGGAGGCGAGGAAAATAGGGAGAGAGGAAGGAGGGAATAGGGAGAGAGGGAGGAAGAAATAGAGGGAGGGGAGGGAGGAAGGAATTAGGTAAGAGAAGGGAGGGAAGGAGGGAAGATAAGGGAGGAAAGAAAGGAAGAAAATAAAGGAGGGAGGGAGGGAGGAGGGAAGGAGAAAGGAAAAAAGGAGGAAAGGAGGAAAGGAGGAAAGGAGGAGGGGAGGAGGAGGGATGGAGAGAAGGGAACTGAGGGAAGAGGGGAGAGAGAGAGAGAGAGAGAGAAAGCGGTAGAGAGATGAGAGAGAGAGAGAGAGAGAGAGAGAGAGAGAGAGAGAGAGAGAGAGAGAGAAGAGAGAGAGAGAAGAGAGAGAGGAGAGAGAGAAGAGGAGAGAGAGAGAGCGAGAGAGAGAGAGAGAGAGAGGAGAAAGAGAAAGAGAGAGAGAGAGAGAGAGAGAGAGAGAGAGAGATGAGAGAGAGAGAGAAGAGAGAGAGAGAGAGAGAGAGAGGAGAGAGAGAGAGAGAGGAGAGAGAGAGAGAAGATGTAGAGAGAGAAGGAGAGAGAGAGAGAGAGAGAAAGAAAGAGAGAGAAGAAAAAAAAGAAAAGACAGTGAGCGAGGAGAGAGCAAGAAGAGAGAAAGAGAGAGAGAGAAAGAGGAGAGAAAGAGAGAGAAAGAAAGAAAGAAGACGGAAAGAAAAGAAAGAAGAGAGAGAGAGAGAGAAGTAGAGAGAGAGAGAGAGAGAGAGAGAGAGAGGAGAGAGAGGAGATGAGAGAGGAGAGAGAGAAAGAGAGAGAAAAAAAAGAAAGAAGACAGAGAGAGAGAGCGAGAGAGAGCAAGAGAGAAGAGAGGGAAAGAGAAGAAAAAAAGGAAGCGAAAAGAGAGAGAGAGAGAGACGAGAGAGACGAGAGAAGAGCAGACGA